TACACCAATTCTGCTCCTGCAGCAGTTCGAATCTCAGCATCAGATCAACACTGTGAAGGACTCTTCCACACCCATCCCCCCTTCAAACAGCTAAGATATACAAAATCACAGCTGTCCGGTGTGATAAGCCTGAGCTCTCAACAGGGCCAAAGATCATCTCTTTCCCATAACATGCACTCTCTCAGGATGGAAATTCTGCTTTGACAGACAGCCTTCTCATGCAGAACGGAAGCTCTGTATTGGTATCTCTTCTTGAAGGGTGTCACACATACCGCTAATATTTGGCTAATCTCATTTTATTCTCCACTTGGATAAAGAGCAGAATGGCCTGCACTGATTCAAGACATGGAGTAACATGATGCAAATCGCACTGCAACCACCAAAGAATCAGGAAGTGCACCCAGTGTGCACCAGCAGTTTCTGAGCACTGCTCCCTAAATGAGCATATAAGAGGCAGAATCCTTTGTTGACTGGGAAGACAGTTTGTCTAAAGGCCTTTTTAAATTTTAATACATGTAATATTTCATATTTTGCTTTGCTCTTTTATGCTGCTGACCTATATAAGGCAGAAAAATTCCTTTTGGAAGGGATCAAAGACTGTTCCAGCACAGTTGTCAAAGTACCTTCTCTTGTCTTACTGCTATTGCCATCACTGCAGTGGTCTCAGAAATACACTTTGCTCTGACCAGAAGAAAAAAGTGTTAGCCATTCTTCACTTCTGTATGCAAGTCTCTTGGTGGAGTGGGGGCAGAATTCAAAAAACAGCTTCTCTGAGCTGAACAGGTCAAAATAAAAGTTCATTTACAAGTTATGATCATGTTGAGTTTTCTAGGTTTAGACGGTGTGAGCACAGCATGTTAACTTCCTGAAGCAGGATGTGTTTGCTGCAGGAAGCATCAGGCTCTGTGTTGGGGGGAAATTTTAAATCTCTATTTTTAGATGCAAAATCTTAGAGCACATCTGAAGAACATGGATGGCGCTGTGCTGGCATGGGTTTGTTTCAACCCATGCGAGAGTACAGGAGATTAGCAAGATTATTTTTTATTAGTGACTTGTTAAAATACTTCTGTTGATCATACTTTATTATGAAAAGCTATGTGTTTACTACAAACAGGATGACACAGACCATATGAAGAAACAATTTTACTCTAACAACTGACTAGTTAATGGAGCAAAGGCCTATCTTTTGCAACATCACGTGGTATTGCTACACGGATAATGCTCTGCTACTTTCTCCAAGCCATTTCTGTGACATTCATGGCGCTCTTACACCAGAGGCCACAATCTAGCATGTTTTCCAGTCACTTTTTAGCTTTAAGTCACATCCTTTTACAAGTTATGGATTTCCTTCCCTTCTTTGTGCTCAGATGTTTCCTCATACCTCTGGCTGCCATTGACTGGAAGGTATTTTTGCCCACAGAAGAAGGTATCAGTATTCCCAGGTATACCAGCTCAGTTTAGACAGCTATGTGCATCTGACCCCAGCTTAGAAAATACAAGGCAGATGCTTTTCACTGTTGTGCGACCTAGGAAAATACTGCAAGTGTCTTCAGTATATCTAACTAGTTAAATTAAGACTGCAAATCAATTCTAGCATAAGAGCAACATTAAATTCAATGTTTCTGTAGCACAAATAGAGGATTAAGTTTTGTAATAGCTATCCATGTTTCTTTTATTCTACCCACACCATTCAAAACAGACTTCTGAGCGGAGACTGGCTATAAGTAAACAAACTACAGCACTGTATTAATAAAGGCTGAATGCAGCATTGCAAGAATGCATAGAGTTCAGCAATTGTATTCACAAGCTCTCAGTGTGCTAAAGAAGGTGTCTTTGACTCATTTGGGCAGATTCCCCCTCAAAGCCAGCTCCAGCACAGATGAACGAATACTGAATCCCAAGCTAAACACCTCAGCTCATCGGTGCTGGCTCCAGACACAACCACTTGGAGACTCTACCAGGCTTTCCAGCATGCCCCACACACCCCATTACTCTTATTTTTACTTCAGTTGTTACTCAGAGTTACATTACTTTGTACATCTTTTTTCCTAAAATTACTATATTTAGTTAAAATTCTTAATAGAAGGCAGTACTTTTTATACTGGTTAAGTTAAGAACACATTCTTAATTTTTTATTTACTAGCAATTAATAAAAGGCATTATGATGAAATAAGACTGAGCAAAGTCATAACCATCTAAGAATTTGCTCTAATAGCACACATCAAGATTTTAGTCTTATATAAGCACAATAAACTCTTAAACTATGTTATGCCTTCCTTCTCCATTTTCTTCTCTGTTTTCATATCAGCGGAGAAATATAGAAACAGTCAGTGTTTCACCAGCTCTGAAAGTGCACTCACACTAAAAATCTTGGGTCATATCATTAATCTATATAAGAGAAGCTACTAAACTATTAGCCAAACCTTAGGGATTACCACTTTAGATAAAACTAGCACCATCCTTGGGAGTTAAGTTACCTCAATTTCAGTACACAAAGAGCACGCATTTATTTCCTCCAGTGTATTTAAAGGTCTTGCACATATCCTTGAAGGGGAAAAAAGAGATAACAAATTCTGCAGTTTTTGAAGTCTAAGAACAACAAGGGCAATGTAGTAGGTTAATGCTTACAGATTGCCGCTTCTTTTATATTCCTATTGGCATCACTGATCCCTTTTTGTATTTCATCCAGCCACAGAACTGCTGATTCATCCTGGGATTCCTGGAAAAAGGATAGAGAAACGCTTTACCAAAGAACTATAAGAATTAAGTATAAAAGAACTAAAAGAATTACAAAAAAAAATCTGTCTGAATATACTGACAGAGCTCTGATGCACAGACTGCCCTCAGGCAGGAAAAATAATTTGACCACTTGAAAGCAGCAATAAGACAAAGCTCTAGTTCATATTACATTTACTGACTGTATAAATGCATGTTCAAATACAAAGTTCTCAAAGCTTTTATTTGCAGAAGACACCATCCCACCAAAGATAAATGAAAGTTTTGAGCAGAGCTGGAAGCAATATTTCCCATTTCCATAATATATCAGCAAAGTAATTGGAGCATTAAGTAAAATCATGTATTACCAGACAGTGCCATGATAGTAGCAAACAGCAGAGTGGAAGATTACAGAAAGTTAATTTTCTTTCAGAATTTCCTATTTGGAAAGGATCTACGTAGATAGACAGATACACACAGATATATATGTATATGAGTAAAGACTATGCGAGAAAATACCAGCAGTAACTGGCATAGAAAGCCAACTCAGGTTTAGTAACGATGGCTGTTAGTCACTTCAGGTAGCAAACATTTCAGGAATTAAGCAGCAGAGCGGGTTTCACAGTTCATGACATTATATCCAATGTAAAATAGAGGGTGCTCTGTACAAGGTAATCCTTTCCTTCTGCTAAAGTTTCAACCAAAGGCTACAGTGTCTGACATCAGGTCTGTCCTTTAAGCAGCTTAAGTAGCCACAGGCACAAGTTTACGCGAAAAGCTGGGGGCACACGGGCAGCAGGACACCTAAGGACCAGCCCTAGTAAAGCTCTGAGCGTTTCTGAGTCATTAACTGCTTCGTACGAGTTGAGTTGCCGTTTAGAGCTCTACAGAGAGCACGGCCTCCAAACTGGGAGCCTGAAATCAGATGTCTGGGTAGCGGCCAGGCTCCGCCGCCCAGGCTCGCAGGTGAGCGCCTGCTTCGGCTCAGAGCAGAGATTTCGGAGCTGAAGAGTGGTTTAGAAATGCAATACAACAGACGGGGGAACAAAACTCCTTCTAAAAAGGAAATGAAAGTGCCCCGATCTGCCAGAGACTAATGATGAGAGGAACTGGAACCCATCGATTTGATAAAGGAGTGTATACACACAGTTCAGAAAAATTATTTCAGAAAATATTTCAGAAAGTAAAAGCCAGGAAAGGGCCACACAGCACTAAAACAGCTTGTGTGGACAACGAACCAGCGTTGCAATGGCTATCACTGTTTCAGGGCCCAGCTACAGGCCAAAACCCAATAAATCTGGGGTCCGCAGAAATTACAAGGGGTAAACAGAGGGGAAAAACAACAAAACAAACACTTCAAGTTTCATAATATATGTAAATGAAGCAAAAGGCTTACATATAAAATTAAACTTTATCAGGTAATGATGTGACTGCAGGACGCACAACCCAAGTGCAGTAGAAAGTTAGAGTTAACACCTGCGAGAGCACATACCAAATCACAAAACTACAAACAACAGTGTCTGGAATGCGATTGAGAAACGGAGAAGAATCTGGTGTCCAGTTTCTGCAGGCTTCATACAAGAACAGATACAAACATTGTTCCAAAGCCAAACACCGCTTATTCCCGTCCTCACCACTAGCTTGGAAGCCAGACCAAGACTTTGCCAGCTGGAAGCAAACCACTGTTATTTGGCATTCAAGCACAAAAGTATTTCAGGCAGAGAAAAAGGAGGAGAACAACAAAACAGCAAACGGACATGGGGTAAAGGCACCAGAGGCTGCAGCCTGTCGGGATGGACGTCGTGTGAACTGCGCTGGTGGCCGAAGGGGGACACGACCTAAGGAGCACAGGCAGCTCGTATTCGCTAGGCAGGTAGAAGCCAAAGCAGAACACAATTTTTGTAAGATGCGTATCTCTTTCAGTTTGTGCCTTGCTTTGCCCTTTACATTTGTTAGACTAAGATCACCACCCTGTTCCCAGAGCCTGGCTTCTTGCTCAAGAGTATAGGATTTAACGCTATGGATTTTGGCCTGTGAATGAGACCTCTAAGGATTTACTAAACTCTCCCTTTGATTTTTGCAGAAAAAGAGCTTTTTCCAAATATCTGTACATACAAATCCCAGCAGAACACACAGAGCCCCCACATCAGCTTCGGGCTCTTGGTAAATCAGGAGTTAAGTTACAGCTGTAAAGCAATTTAATCTCTGTGTTGGGCAGAGGCTGAAACTGAGTCATGTGTGCATATTTGGATACGTCACACCCTCTTGCTGTAGTAGACAAAGAACAAACTAGCTTCTTGCCATAAATCCCATGCCTACAGGATGCTTCTAGGGGACAGCTCTGTCATTCTTTAGCCCTTTACAGGGAAATAAATCCCCCATCAAAGGCCTCTTGAGATGAGCTAGAACAGCACTGGATTTTTTTCTAGCTGGATTTAACTTACTACAATGAAGATACTAGTTTTAACTGGATTGTTCTCTCTTACCTCAAGTCTTTTCACAGCAGGTAAGTCCTCCTTTCTGCATGTGTTCTGTATTTTAGTCGACAGCACTTGCTTTATCAGCATTTTGGCAGCTTAAATGGACTGTAAGTATATCAATACAGATAGCTACGCTCTAGGAAGCCTCACTTAAGGCAGATCTTTATACTTCCATTTCAGTGACATCTTGCATTATTGTCCCCTGTAGCCCAGTCATTTTCAATCAGGATTTTTAAAAATTTTTAAGGGAGCTTACTGAAAGCACATTTTTCCCAGGCTCACCCTTGCCTCTATGTCTACAGTGATATGGTAACGTAGACCTGCAGGGTCATGTTCCTTCTGCTTTAAAAAGTTGAACAGAATTACAGCTTCACAGAAGGTGTCATTACAGGAAAATGCTCTGATAGCTCTTCTGTTGCGACAAAAATAACTGAAGGAAATGATCAAAGAGTAAGCCCTTTTTTCCTCACTAGAATTAAAGGTGCTTTCAAACTAAGCTCATTTTTATAAGCTGTTTTTTTTTATATTATATACACACACACACAAATATCTCTAAAAGTGTGATTAAAGTTCATTTTTTGATTAATCATCTGAAAAATTATTAAAAGGTCTACTAATTATGTGATTTCAAATCACTCTACCGTAAGTCTGAAAGTTTCAAAACAGTGAGTCTGGATAAAACTGTTTTGCATATTTTATTCCAGAACAGAAGGGCAAAAGAAAAACCCACAGGTTTTAGTTCAAGTTTTAGTTTGCTTATTCTGAATTCCAATTTCAAGATAGCAAAGAATTTTTAAATGACAAAATTCATTACACAGAGCTATGCTGTTTATTCTCCAGAACCTATTTTACAAGAACCTTTCTGAAGCCACTTGTTGAAGACGTCGGTGCTTCATCTTAGAGATGTCAACATAACTTTGCAAAGTTCTCTCCTAGGCACTGAGGAACAGGCATCAGCAAAAGAGACCAGCATTATTAGGGTTTGCCCACATGCTAGCAGTATTTACTGACTGCACATTCCCCTGCTGGAGGAAAAAAGTTTTATTTGCTTACAAATAAATTTGATCTAATGTCAATCCAAGCATTTTTATTCAGTTCTTAAAACACTAACTGCCCTGCCTTGTGTATGATAAATTGAAAAGATCTGGTTTGCTTTAGAGTCCAAAGCTGAAGAATACAGAACATAACGTTATTTTGATTTATAAGACCAAAAAAGGGAGTTATTTGGATTTTCTAACTGGAAGATTTTAGCATGAGTTAAGCAAGATAGCGCTTGTTGCATCTTTGCTGTCATGTATTTCACACATTAAGTGACAAGAATTTTACTCCTGTTTTCTTTGGAAACTGTGACCAAGCCTAGACCAAGGCTGCAACTTACATGATGAATCACCAGCATTGCTACTACCTGGCAAAACCTCTGTGTACTGTTATCACCTGCAGACGTCTTCAGTAACTTTGCCAGCAAAGATTACTGAAAACATCTGAAATGCAGAAAATCCAGCTTAACATTAAATTCATGCTAAATTTCCAGTCTTGGTTGTTAGATGACAAAAAAAAAAGTGAAGATTGTCCTTGAGCACATTTGGTATAAAACCTCAAAGCACAACTCCACCAAGTCTTTTTACACATAAATCAATTCTCACACGAGAAAATTTACTTTTCTCCTTACCTGAAGGTGACTATACTGATAATCCAATAGAATGCCTATTCTAACAATTTTAACTTTTTTTCAAGCTTCAGAATCTTCCCTTAATACCTCTGCAATTCAAACTGTCTCTCTTATCAAGACTTTTCGTGGCATTTCTGCAAGAGACTATGATTATATTCCCCCTTATGCTATAGAAGGGGAGACAACGACTGTTCGTATCAGAGAGCGCAAGTGCTCTTCAAAAAAGCCAAATGACTCAACTTTAACAGAAGTTAACAACACAACGCTGGAGTACCTGACCAGTTCTCTAAGCACCAAGCTAATACCTGCTGTCTACCTCAGCGCTGTTCTACTAGGTGTGCCATCTAATGCCATTATTCTGTGGATGCTGCTCTTCCGAATTCGATCCGTGTGTACTGCCATCCTCTACACAAACTTAGCTGTTTCGGACCTGCTGTTCTGCATCATGTTGCCATTCAAAATAGCCTATCACCTCAATGGAAACAACTGGATTTTTGGCGAAATGATGTGTCGAACTACAACTGCCGTGTTTTACGGCAACATGTACTGCTCCATTCTGCTGCTCACGTGCATCAGCGTCAGCCGGTACGTGGCCATTGTCCACCCCTTCACCTACAAGAGCCTGCCCAAGCGCACCTACGCTACCGCTGTCTGCGCTACCGTGTGGACCATCGTCTTCCTGTACATGCTTCCGCTTTGCATCATGAAGCAGAGCTATTATGTGAAACAACTGGGCATTTTCACCTGTCACGATGTGCACAACGCCTGTGAAACTGTATCAGCCTTCCAGTTCTACTACTACATTTCTTTAGCTATCTTTGGATTTTTAATACCTCTTGTAACTATCATTTTCTGCTACATCGCGATCATACAAACACTTAAGACTCATGAATGGTTCTGGTATGTTAAAGTAAGTCTTTTGATCCTGACGATCTTTGCTATTTGCTTTGTACCAAGCAACATCATCCTTATTGTCCATCATATCAGCTACTACTATTACAACACAGATGGGTTGTATTCTTTTTATCTAATTGCCTTGTGCCTTAGCAGCTTAAACAGTTGCCTTGATCCTTTCCTTTACTTTCTGATGTCCAAAATCAGAAGTCAATCCAATATCTATCTAACAATGGTTAAAGTATCCAGGGAAAAATGAATTTAGTTCTGTATTTATTATTGTTGGCATTATGATTTTGTATAGTGTTAACCCCAGTAGCAATAAACTGCAGGTGCAACAGCTGGACAAATAAAAGTATTTTAAAAACCCATGATCTTCTCAGTAAAATTTACTTCCTTCCAAGCCCCGTATGAGAAGTGTCTTCTGAAATACACTTTCCCAGCTGTAAAATTTTATTAGGCATATTGCAATAACTGGTGTGCTTAGACTCAGGAAAGTAGCTAAGCACCTCCATTTTCTTGACCTTTTCTTGACCTTTCTTGACTTTCATAAAAAGGTCACTTTTATGGCCTTGAAGAAGAGAATATCAACCACCACCGCCTCTGAACACCAAAAGACAAAGCAATGCTTGAACAGTACTTTTAGGCCCCTTTATGATTTCCAAATACTTCACATTAGCTCTTGACACACAATCACTGCAGGAATG